GAATGACGTTGGCCATACCTTGCATATTCCAGAACTGAACCTTTATTGCAATCGATCTGCTTAAATTCCTCAGTTTTTTGGGGGTTGGTTGACTGCAGAAGAGCGTGGACAAGAGTTACTAGAGGATCTATTCATCACATGTGGTTTCGGGGTGAGCTTGTTCGATTCGTAATCCCATGTCCACCAGATGTCATCGATTAGCACTTTATTATACTTGATTTTGACTTTCTTTCCCTGTTGTTAAACAGCTTTGGCTAGGAGTCTCACCTCCCGATAGATTTCTTGTTCTATTGGGGTAAGGTCGGGGTCAATGAAGACCTGCTTGTCTTTGCTTTTGCCCAGTTTTGATTTGTTTTTCATGATACAGTCGCGTGCTTCTAGGGAGGAAAGGGTGACTATTAAAAGTTTATTTGCATTGACTACCTCTCTTACATCCTGTACAACGTCAGCAAGCCCAAAGTTTACTGCGAGAAAATTTCTTACAGCTTCCATATGAGAGGCTGAGCCTCGTGAAAGACCTCTAAGAGAGACCCAGGTGGGAAAAACCCACCTTGACGATGGGAACAAGGCTGGACCTAGACATGACATCAAGGCTGGATGAGCCAGACTAGAATCAGGCTTCTTTACATGGTTGAATCATTTATTGATTCAAGCATGGGCCGTCAATGTATCATCAAGCCTTGCTTCAAGGTTGAAACTGCATGGCTGTTCAAGACTAGAACATTTATGCTAGAACACGATTTAGTTACATCGTCAAATCAGTGATCAATTTAAATATGAAGAGCAATGTTTTATTGAGCCTCTTCTATCTTCTGCCAACTTGACTCATTTTATGGGAAGAAAACGATTTCAATTCATTTTTTAGTAAAATTTCTTATGAATTTTGACATTAAATTTTTATTTTCTAATCAACACATAATTAATGGAGTTCACATTGTTTTTATAAAAAACGTCCCCACCCCAAGACAGGGAAATCGACTCTCCGCGTGAGATTACGAAACGTTAATCGCGTCTTTATTTGTAATTCAGGATGAATCTGAATATTAAAAAAAATTTCAAGAAATTTCAAGAAATTTAATTAATGACTAAATAATGAATGAATAAATGAAGAACATTAATTAATTAATTAATTGACTAATTAATCGATGTTCTTCATTTAGTTCATATTGATAACCCAAAATCCATCGAGAATAAAGATTACTGGAAGGAAAAAAAAACTATATATATGCAACTATGAGTCTGAAACGTCACGTGCTCCCTTTCTAACCTCAATTTCGACATAAATTCAAAACAGCAAAATGGATTTCCGTGATAAAAATGCAGTTTATAGACAGAGGAAAATGAAATGTTTAAGAACACAAAGTGAATTGAGTGACCAGGAAGAGCTAGCCATCCCTGGAAGTGCTGAGAGTAGTGAGGCAATTAACGCTGCTCCGTTATCAAATGAGACTGATAATTTCTGTGTGAGTGATACAGCAGAGAACTCTTCCATAAACAGCTTGCCAGATTTTGATACAGATACAGAACAAGGACTAATAAGTGAGATTGATCCTCCATCCAGCCCCTCACCGAGTATTCATAGTGCTGAGTCACGTAGAAGTGAAGTTAATTCTTATGTTTCTAACTTGAGTGAAATTTCTACATCTCCATCATTACATCGGCCATCTCAAGAGCCCATGATTAATGAACCGGCGATGAATATAGACGATATTTTAAAAGAATGGTCTATCAGTAACATAGCCAATATGAAAATGTGTGGGGTAACTGATTTGCTGAAACGTCTCAAGATAGCTGGCCATCCAGAATTACCATCCACTGCAGAATCTCTGATGGGCTTTTCTCATGCGATTAGAAGTCTTCCTATGGTTTCAATGTCGGGTGATATCGGAAGTTATATTTATTTGGGGATCAAAAATGGTCTAGAAAAATGTATAGTACCAGATATATACAATGAACCTGAAATTAAAGTGTTAGTGCACATTGATGGCATGGCAGTTTACTCCCATACGGAAGGTACATTGTGGCCTATATTAATTAAACTTTGGCACAAAAATTATGTGTGCTCTTCTTTTGTTGCTGCTCTTTTTTACGGAAAAGCAAAGCCAAGAGATGTTGGCCTTTATTTAGATGATTTTGTCGAAGAATCCCGCAAATTAACTATTGAAGGGATAACAATGAATGAGCAATCTTATAAGTTTAAAATTGCTGGTATAGTCGCTGACAGTCCAGCGAGAGCATTTATCAAATGCACGGTCTACCCCACAGGATTTTCTGCCTGTGAGCGATGCAGTGTGCATGGAGAGACTGTAAGTAAACGACGTATTTATTCAGAATCAAATGCTCCGAAAAGGACAAAAGAAACCTTTGTCGCACGTGATGATCGCAAGCATCAGCCAAGAGACATTCCAACTCCATTATTGAGGATACCTGGCTTCGATCCCATTAAAGATGTCCCGCAGGAAGCTATGCATTTACTTTTTCTAAACTTAATGAAAAATTTATTATCTCAGTGGTTGAATCGCAGCAGTCCATGCAGAATATCTTTACAGAAAGTCCAACTTTTGAAAAGATTGATGACCGATCTCGGCCCTTTTATTCCCACAGAATTTCAGCGTAAAGATTATAATATTGATCATTTCTCTCGTTGGAAAGCCACCCAGTTATCATTTATGCTGTTGTATGCTGGACCTCTAGTGCTCAAAGATGTCTTACCATCAAATTTTTATCAACATTTTCTCTTTCTACATGCTGGTTGTCGAATCTTATGCAGTTCGGAACTGGCTGTACCATTTTGCAAGACTGCCAATACTTTTTTACGTAAATTTTTTATCTCCATGCCAACATTTTATGGTGATCACTGTCAAATTCTGAGCGTACACGGGATTCTCCACATTGCTGATGATGTTGAACATTTTCAAACACCACTGATAGATTTCTCGGCCTTTTGGGGGGAGAATTTTATTGGAAAGTTTAAATCACTCGTCACTGGCTATGCTAAAGCTCTTGAGCAGATTGTTAATCGCATAACCGCTCAGAGTCAAAGAGATGATATGAAAGTGAAGAGAAAAGAGATTCTTCGTGACTGCATCCTCAAGACGCCCCCAAAGTTCACTACAAAGCATGGAAGAAGAATTAAAGCAGTAAAATCGGTGAATTACAGAGATATGGAGCTAACCGATCGACCACCGAATAATGTAGTGGAGTTGAACAATGGGGGAATACTTTTAATCACCCATTTATTTTCCAGAGCTGATCACGACGTAGTGTTACAAGCAGAGGACATTTTTCTTCATGGTATTTCGACTTCAGAAGTGCAAAATATTTTCACAGCCCCTTGTCCTTCATTAGAAATAGGAATTAGTAGAATTGAAACATTCAAGCGTATTAGTAGATACATAAAATTGAATGATGTTAAAAAAAAATGTGTCTACGTTAATAATTTGAATGGACGCTATACTTTATCACTTCTCCATGGATGAATGATTTAATTACCTATTATGAATCTCATTTCATTCATCTTTCATATATATATACATATATATTTCTAAGAAAACATTAGCAAATAATAGTTGATAATCATGTAACATTTATCATCATTCGGTGACATGCAAATTGAATAAAAACTTCAACAAAATTGGAAAATTCATGCTCAAAGGATCACATAGCAAAAACTCTGAGAGTATATTTTTCCTATCAAATATTTTAGAGATTGCGCGAAAAGCCAGAATTTCAAGGAAAATTTGATTCAATTTTACACGTATTTTCTAGTTAATTTGCTATATTTTTCCATTGCATATTGATATAAATATAAGCGATGGGGAAAATCCTTTATTCGTTTTGAAGGAATAAAATTAATGTGATTTATTCCGTCGTTAATTACTCTTCACGTTTTGACATGCACTAGGTAATTGATAATTATTTCAATGATTGGAACCGACAGAACGTCGTTTTCATTGATATCCTCAAGTAATCGAATTCTCGTAAATAATCATTCAATTTTAATGATTAATGCTTCTAATCACAACCTCGAATCTATGTAATTAAACGAATACTAGTAATGCATTTTCAATTCTCTATTTCAGACTCTTACATTTTTATCATTTTTAAATAACCTTAAAATTATAAGATGCAAATTTTCAATGAAACAGTGTATTTTCATATTTTATGACGTGTGATCCAGTTAAGTGAATAATCAAAACTGAATGAAAATTTTAAAAAAGTTGACTAAATATTGTTTCCTAGCCGTTTTTGATTAATGAAGGGAATAAAATCATCACATCACTACCGTAAGTATTTGTTAGCACTATTAATCATTATTAATTATAAATATTCATATTTCGTTCCCACAAATACCCTAGAAGAGTGGTGATGACAATAGTAATATGGCGACCACATAAACCGGGACGTCGGCAACTAAGCGTCACCAGTATTTCAGTACGGTTAAAAGAATGTGAGAACAGTAAGTGGATTCAATCTAAAAAAGTACGAAAAACTCTAATGGTAGTATGGAATGACAAATATATTGCAATGCAAATGTAATGATGAATAATTTTAAATGACGCCAAAATATTTTATCGATCAAGGTACGCCGGTCGATGCAGCGTTGATCTAACCTCTTCTATAAGTATTATTCACTCAGATGCCGGAATTCTCATCGCATGAATATACAACTTTTTATCCGAATACTTTTCTCATCAATTAATATTTGAAGTTTTGGTAATTACCTACGTAAATTCTTATTGGAAAGTTCTTATTGAAAAAATGTAAACTTGTTGAATGTAAAAATTTCATTCATTATAAGGACTGAGGTAACAGTGACTGAAGTGAGGTTAGATGAATTTTCGATCCGGTTGAATATATAGAAACTACTTTTCAGATTTTTATATTAATTTTGTTTTTATTCGAAGCCTCAAATATATATTGAGTACTGCATCATTCTATGAATGTTGATAGTGAATTTATATGATCTATATGAATATTGCTTTCTTAGATTTTTGTCATTATCCGAGGTTCTATTTGGACAATAAATAAGTCTAGAACTGAGCTTTTTTATGAACATGGCACGAAAGGAAAAAACTGAAATTGTTCCTTATCAAATCATCGAGTTCAGGGATGAGTTAAAAAAAGGCAAGCGGTCAGTGGAGCTCGTGTGTTTCTCTTGGTTAGACTTTGAAGCTGACGACAAAATCTGGTGTCATTACCCACCGCAAAATGACTGCAAAAATCTTGATGAATGGATCCGTGTGAATCAAAAACCGTTGGAAAACTGGATAAAATATCGAGTAACCATTTTAGAAGATGCAGGTAAAGGAATCTCTTTCATCTGTATCTCTTCCTTGATTGCAATTGTATTATTTACAACTTGAAGAAATGCCTGAAATGTTAGATTTGTTTTTGACAATCTTACAACGAATTATTAAATATGTTATTAGAGAGACAGATTTTCCATTTTTGCATCTCTGAAATAGATATGTGTTACGACTGTTGTTATTTTTTGATTTTTCTTCAAGTCCAGAAATTTTTCGTTCAATTATTTTGGATTATTATGTGTTGAATCAATGTTGTTGACTATATCATTATTTAATTGTGATGACATCATTAATAGTGTTGTGCAAGTTTTTTTGTTGTTGAATGCCCCGAACTGGTAAGTTCTTCCATTTTCGATTGGTAATTCAGATCCAAGTTTATTCGAATAAATTTATTCTCTAGTTACCTTTTTAGTAAACTTAGTAAACGTAAAGAGAATAACTGATTTTTCTGTGAAGTTCAGAAATAATTTGTTCATTCACGGTTCTGTGGGTCATGAATTGTTTAGGTTTCCCAATCATTTTTCAAGGTTCGATAGATTTGTAGGAGCTCGATAAACGTTTGGCCCATTTGGATTTCAACAGATTGCAAGTATATTTCATGGATCGTCATTTCGTTTTAAACTATCACTTAGAAAATTCTTTTGATATTGGTTCGTGTAATTATCTCAGCAAGCTTCTACTGAAATTCGAGAATCAATAAGAGTTTCTTAATGATACTGATGCGATTGAAACATGGAAACCATTGGAATGTTCTGGATTTTTTTATGAATATTGAAATCTGCTCACGACTGGTTCGAGAGTCCACGTTCAAGAATACTAGAAAAATAGTGGAAAAAATATCAAGCCGTTATCAGAAATAAGTACTCTAACCTTTTCGAGTAATTTTTTATTCAACTTATTACTTTCAATATTTCCTATTTACATGCAGGTGATTATGAGCAGGGCATACGGCGTCTTGAACGATCGTATAAGCGGCGAACACATTTAAGAACGTCTGATTCAGACTGTTCTGGAACGAGTAGTATAATGAAAATATCGAAGAGTAAAGCCAAAAATATGCTCAGACAGTCTCAATCTTTGTTCAGCCATCCTCCAATTGATGAAAGATCAGAGGAATTAACTCAATCCTATGGTGAGCTAAGGAAACAAATCGGATTCCTGTTTCAAGAACAATCAAGTCTGTTCCGCTTAAAACCATATTCAATGTATTCGATGGAATTTGTATTCCTCATGATTTTTTGTTCCATAGAAGACGTTTGTTTAGGAAAGTTATCAGGAGCTCCAACAGTTGATAACAGATTGCACACTCCACCAAGGGATCGAGACAACGTTCCAACAAGATATCCTTCTATTTTAGACATAACTCCATCCACTCGCCTGACTCCTCAGAATAGTTCATGTTCAACAGGTACAGGAAAAAGAAAACAAACTTGAGCTTTGATTGCAATATATGTCAGTTCGCTACTCATTGTATTTTTTGGTGTAGATGATAATGGTGCTGACGATAAAACAACCTCAGCATTTGACAAAATTGATGATAGAACTGTGCTAGAAACCCCAAGGATGAAACGTCCCTTTCAAGATAAAATCTCATCCAAGATTAATGTTCCTAGGTTCTCAAAGAACGCTTCCTACCGCCCTACTCCAACGATAGTTGTGCGATTATTTTGTAATTATGGCTATTTCTCTCAGATTAGAAACTAATCGGACTACAGAATAAAAAAAAATAGAATGTACCAGAATTTTGAATATAAACTTCCACCTTCCGAAACGTTGATATTCACGATTTCCCATTTTTCTTAGAGAGAAAACAGAAACACAATGTTTTTGATGAGAAGACTAGACATCATGGCCCACCATCGTCACGAGAACATGAGAACGCCAATTTTTTTGCAAGCCAGTCTTCGCAGCGACTAGAGTTTTCAAATGTTAACGGGAATTTTCAAAAGTTCATAAGGCACAATTCGAGTCCAGGTAAACTATTATGCTATTAATTATGTGGCTCCTTTGTAAATAGCTATCGATTATTTTTCTTACGATTAAGAGCTAAAAAAAAAACTCGAATTTAGATCTTGAAAAAATTTCATGAACGATCTAGTAACAATAAAAAATCATATTTATTAAAGAGGTAATTTAAAAAATTTTAAAAAAGATTTCCTCTGTTCTAGCTGCTTAATCGTTTAAAAAATTGTTTTCAACTTTTACAATTGTAAGCTCAGCAGTTGATGCAATTGATAAGAAATATTTTATCTAGTTGCGGCGACAGTAGCCACGCGGGCGGTGTGTGACTTCGGCGGTCACCCAAGCTAAGCAACGCTCAGTTGGGTTAGTACTTGGATGGGTGCCCGCTTAGTCACACCCCTCGGCGTGTAGACTGCCGACGTCAGGCACGTATGCGGAGAGCTGGTGTGTTCACCGAGTCAGTGTGACTGATGAACACAGCAGAATCCCCGCATTACCGGCCGGCTGCGCTACTGAGGTTTTACATGGTTTCCCTCAGTACAAGCCAAAGGGGCGCAGAAAAATGGAAAGTCGGCCCATGCTACCGCAAACAAATAAAAGAGAGGATAGTAGGAGAGGCAAAAATAAGAGAGGATAGTAGGAGAGGCTAAAAAGGCTAAGACGAAGGGGTGCCTATCAAACCATGGTAAGAAAACAATGGTAATAGGAAAAAGGAAAAATGTAAAATAAAAAATATTTTATCTAGTTTTTATTGGAGGCGTCAACGCTACTGTATTTTTCCAATCGCTTTCATTTTTAAGGTACCAAGAAGAATTATCACTCCAGCAAAGAAACCCGCAGTAATTATTTAAGAAACGAGCAGCCTAAAGAAAATTTGTCACAGAAGGAAATGCAACATATTTTTAATCGTATGAACCCCCAAATGCAAGGTAGGCCATATAATATTGGAAACGAGAATTTTACTTCAAGTTTACGTTTCAATCAGACAAGCTTTTTATCTCGTCATCAGAGATTTAATTCCATAACAATATGATAATACAATGGGGGTTTAATGAGAGTGCAAAAAGGTTCGATTTCCTTCGTTTTTCTTTTTATTTTAGAAATAATTCGTTATATAGACCTTCAAAGAACAGCAGATTGTGAAAGGATTCTTAAGAAAATTGAAAACTCCAAAAGAAGTATTTTATACGATCTCGGTAAAATGATGAAAACTATGAATTCAATGACTCCGTTCGGAGGACCCAACAATGCTTCATCCAACAAACCTCTCACAAGCGAAATTCTTAACGTGAGATTTCCTATCAAAACTCATGAAGAATTCCTAATTTTTGAACAATCTCTATCTGCAATGCATGAAGAAACGAGAGACGAAGATCGGAAAGTCATCGAGCATTCAGGGTTAGCGAAAAAAAAGGTTTTGGTAATTATCATGCATTTTTAATGGTCTCAATCTATATTCTTGAATGAAAAATAGTGGATAATACTGATATTTTTTACAATTTTGATTCTAGGTCTCTACGTTTTGGGGATGGGTGGGCTCGGAAGACACTTGGAAGGACTGCGTGAGGAAGTGCATGAATTGCTTACTTCATAAAGATGTGCAAAAAATCTACAGTGGAAGAGGGAGGCAAACCATACTCAGTCGTAAAGAGGCTTTTGATAAAACAGCATCTTGCGAGTGCATAAAAGGTGAGGGTTATACAATTTATTTATTTTCATGTGAAATTATACTGTTTTCCTGTTTAGAGTTTTTGTTGAAGAAATTTCCTTCAACAACTATGGACATTGTTTCCTACATAGGAAACCATTTGAGCCAGGCTCAAGGGAAGAAAAAGTAATTTTTCCAAAGATGACAGGAAGCAGAAGAGATGCCGTGAAAAGCACACAGAAAAATGAGTTTAAAAAAATGTTACATTGTTTCGAGTTTAGATTTAAATTTAATGTTCTACATATAATGCAACTTTGAAGATATTAATAAAGCCATTGATGTAAAATCATTGTGAAACTAATCATTTTTTAGTTATTGAGCGTGAATCTACCTTGTACATCCACCAAGAATCTGGATTAACCCACATGCTTAGCCGAGGTTTGGGTTACAACGTTGAACCAATCATAACATTAAAGGTTGCATCGAGACTCGATACTCAAGGCTTGACCAACAGTGGGATCTCCAACCTTGGAAACATAGTTATTTTCCAATATTCATTCATGCTTGATTCAATCCTGGATATCGACGCTCGACCAATCTATGTCAATCTTGGATCAAGCCTGATCCAATCTTGTTTCCATCGTTCATTCCCACCTGGGGATGTTCTTAGCTCTGTTGGCTTTCTCGAATATAGAGAATATTTGTTGAAAACAAAGATGAAGACCAAACAGATGCCATAAGTGTAATAAATAGTTCAAATATGATTGTTCATTTTGTACTCTAAGAATTTTACTGTACGAAGCAATGATGATAATAAAAAGGTTTAATGTTTAATACTTTAGTTATTTTTTTGGCAACGATTTGAATACACTGAAAATTAATAAATGTATAGAATTTATAAGTTTTGTACTGGTTGAAAAATTAATGGCATAGTATTTTGTCTATGAATTTTGAAAATAATTCCGTTTCCCTCAAAAATGATGTAGACGATGAGTAAGTTCACGAGAAAATAAAACAATATTTTATTGTAGATAATTACATTCGCCACAAGAAAGATGTTGGAATTTCCCCCTAAACGCACTCATTACAAAGATTGGATTATCAAATTGCACAGAAAGATCGCTAGTTTTGAGGAAACCATTGATCACGAATTCGATCACGAAAATTTCGTCCTGCAGCCAACTCGGGATTAACACACCGTCCAATGTTCCCTTGAGCCAGTTCTTCAACATCTAGAAGTCCAAAATCTGGATTATCATGCCAGATGTCATCGTAAGCTTGCATGATACGATAACCATCATTGATTGCTATATTGTGGAAAACCGCACAAGTATAAACGATTTTCGCAGCAGTAGTAGGATCATAGTGTAGAACTCGTTGTTTTAACAAACAACGAAATCTCATTTTTAAAATTCCATTTACTCTTTCAATTGTGGAGCGTGCCCTACAAAAGGAAGAGTTGAATGCTGCTTCTTGTGATCCATCTTGCGGGTTTTGGTACGGTGTCATCATCCACTCTCTCAAAGGGTATCCACCATCTCCCAACAAACAAAATCGTTCTCCTGCATGATTGTACAATCTCCTCAAAACTATCTGGACCTCACTGTCGTTCCAAATTGTACAATCATTGACACTACCGGGATATCTTGCATTGAGATTCAAAATTTTGAAGTCAGCATCGCAGATTAACTGCACATTCAGTGAATGATACCCTTTCCTGTTGATATAAACATGTTCAAGGTGGATAGGATGATTCCTGGGAGGACGAACAATTGCTACATGTGTGCAATCGATGCATCCTATAGCACAGGGCCCGGCAACCTGGGCTCATTCGGCTCACGCGGCTCCCGAGCTTCCTTAGTCAGAGCTGGGAGAGGGGTCTCATCCACTTAACAAAACTACCTGCTCTAATTCGATATCTCTCTCTGCTTGAGCTCTGGTTCGACCGATACCGGCAGAGGCCCACCGTGTGATCGAGCGGGAATTTTGATTTTCCATCAATTTGAATTATAAATATAATTTTTTTTATTCGAAATAGGCAGCAATATGAGGAAAAATTATTTTTTCGATCTTTTCATGATAAGGAATCTGCCTTGACAATTATTTTGTCTCCAGACGATATTTGCAGCAATGAAACAAATAAAATAAAATACGCAACGAAACTCTCGGGAAATATCCGATTAATTTTCAAGGTCGAGGGGGACTTGGCTGGCTTTTTTTTTCATTCCAATTTCAAGCAATTAAATGTGTGACATTTCATATGGTAATAGTAAAACGGTTTCATTAGGAAATCTCAATTTTCAATTTTTTTTCAATTTGTTAATCAATAATGTCCAAGGATTCTCCTCCAAATCGGCTCATGTCGAGGTAAAGTCTTTGAACTTCATTTTTTCTAATGACAGTTTTAGGGTTTGAAACGCGTACCAATTGTTTATTGGATATTGTCATTGCTTAGCAACAAACGAGGAGATATTCGAAAAATATCCCAAGTAAAACCGTTTTACTTGTACCACGTGACGGAAAATGCCAGCATTTGATTGGTTGAAATTGGGATGAAGAAAACCATCAGGAATATAATATAATATATAATAGAATCTTCCAAAAATAACCGTGACAAATGTTTATTTTTCACACTTAGAGTGGCATTATTTGGTAGGAAAATAATAATTACCGAAAACCAATTCCTAAATATATTCTTGAGGGTTTTTCATTGTAAATTTTAATTTTTTTATTTTTTATGTAAAATTTGGAACTGAAAATTTGCGCCAATCCTGGCGGGTCAGCCATTTTTATGCGACTGGCACGCCACTCTACGTGGCTGGCTGCAATATTGTCGCTGCTGGGACTTATTCGCTCAGAATGGTTGTCTAATTGGGTACTCATTAAGATGAGAGGATTATCCCGACCCTAGTAATAGGCTGGCTCCCGACTACCTGAAGGTTGCCGGGCCCTGGTATAGCATATGGGAAGCGATATTTTTAGAAAAACCTATTCCGTGCTTGCCGAACTTCTGCGATATTTCGGTGGAATTGAATGTACTCTCTGGACACCTCAGGTCGGCAAAACACGTCTATTACGGTATGCAATGATCTGCTTACGGAGGGTTGGCTTATGTTACTGTATCGACCAAGACCAACGTCCATCTGGTAACTACCTGTACTGAAGAACCGTAGAGCTGTTAGCACCTATAATGAATAACGTATTATTCAGCAAGGAATCATTCTCGAGAAAGAATTGAGTAGTAATTTAACGCGTTATGGAGTTTTCAGAGAATAACTCTGAGTTGTTGATACATAGCGAATTTGTCGACACTTTTTTCATAGATTTGTCTATGCAATAAAAACGCCCTGAGAAGAATTGCTCTATCTCTCTTAAATCTATAAATGTTTCGCAATAATTCAATCGAAAGACAAATTAAGTCATGAGCTGCCAAACCTCCACAACTGAATAGAAATTTCTTTACAATATATTTCCAATATACGAGTAGCCCTCTGACAAAAACTTATCGCTTATACTTGTACATAAGTTGTTTTACAGGGAAACCGTAAAAAAAAATATTAAAAATTATTATTTACTTTCCGCTTAATGCCCAACGCTGATCTTCGTTCAAATGGTAGTTGGTATTGTCGAACAATGTCAATCACTTGAATTACCCTCTCTTTTGTGAATCGGTATATTTTAATAAAACCTTCTCCTGTCAATTCCTCGAATGGATCTCCAGCATTATACAGATTTCGAGGGTGATGCTGTTCTTCTCCGATCTCTTCCAGATGGCCCAAAATTTCATTATGTAGAAACCGGCGAAGATTATCCATTTTTTTTAATTAGAAAATTTAATAATAGAAACTCAATTTTTTTTATGCAATATAGGTTAGGCGCCTTCAATCTTTAGGATACTTCGTATGGGAATACGATTCGGGTGGGAAAACAAAATTGTTGAACGAAAGATTTTCCCTCACGAATTTAAAATTTCCAAACGAAAGTGATCAACGAATCATTCATTCGTTCACGGATTACGTTCCGTTCACGGAAGACGTTTCCCATGCGTCGAGAATAGGCCCCCAGCCTGAACACCATCATGATGAGAAAAGTCCACTGCTCGAAATAATCGACTTCGATCCTGTGCAATATATGGTTCTTGATGCTGCGCATTTATTCTATTGTTGTGTTATGAACCGACTACTATAAAAATGGATTCCCAGAGGAAGTACACAACGTATTAGACCAGCTCAAGTTCGAATTTTGCAAAATTTATTGGGGCAAGTTACTGCTGCCGTTCCTCTAGAGTTTCAGCGAAAAAAAATCGACATTTACGCATTTTCTGGATGGAAGGCGACTCAATTACGATTTTTCCTGCATTACTGTAGTCCCATAATCTTGGAGAACGTCTTACCACATAACTTATACAGGCACTTTTTATTATTATACACAGCCTGTCGGATTCTTATTCACAATGAGTTGATTTTTAGTCATCGTGATGCTGCCAGACAATTATTACACAATTTTTTCTATCTTCTACCTGCATTATATGGCCCTAAGTCGCACATTCTCAGTATGCATAATCTGTTACACATCACAGATGACGTCGAAACGTTTCAACTTCCTTTGAGTGATTTGTCTGCTTTTTGGGGCGAAAATTATATCGCAATTTTTAGAAAACTTGTAAAATCTCCACTCAAGCCTCTGACTCAAATAGCAAACCGTTTGAGTGAATTAGAAAGCGCAGATCGCATACAAATTAAGAAATGTTTAGTACTGGAAGAGATTGATATTAATAAAAATTGTCAAATTTCAATTTATGATGGTGAAGAATTTTATATGCTATTATCAGTCAAGCTATTTGGTGTCATTATAAGAAGCACTCATCCAGACAATGCCATTTTATTATCTGATGGAGCAGTCTTTATAATTGACCAAATCGTTTAGAAAAACACTGAGCAAAATATCACTCATCTTTTTTTGTAGGATTCAAGGAAGTAAACAGACGAGAAGTTTTCACATCCACAACCCTTAATTATAAGGTATCTTCTATTGATGTAGGTCTTATGAAAATCGAACAATTGTCAGAGAAAAAAATAATAGTGGCAGCGAAAGAAATGAAATACAAATGTGTGCTACTTAATTTCAAAGGTTCTATACATTTAACGACTTTTTTCCATGCTTTTCATTCGCGTCAAGGATAAATAATGTTAACAATAAATTAATAAAATCTGTAACCCAAAATTACTGGTTATTTTTCATAATTTCAACGGTTTTTATATACTTTTCGTTGTACATCAATTAATAATATATCAGAGGATGTACAGACGAAATTCGAAACTGGTCCTTGAGGTGACCGCTGGACGCTTGAGTAGCGCTCTGATTCTTCTTGGAATTGTGATGACGCCGGCTTGCCGGTTAAGACTTGTCGCAAAAGAGCGTGTTCTTCTCTTTTGTTGAAAATCTCTTTTGTTGAAAATCTTAATAAAGTTTCGTTAATTTCAACGGTTGTTGCATTGATCGGTAATATTCGGTCGAGTGTCACGTCGGTTCAGTGCTTATGATAATTTATTCGCTGTGAAATAAAGGGTCACTACTACTGTCTTTGAGGTGAGTATAATTGTTTAATTTTGTTCAATAACATTGTGTACGATGAGCCTGAATTGGACACCCTTGGAAAACTCATGGTACTTTTATGTTTATATTAATTATATTAGCTTCTATTAGTTTATATTAATTATATATTCCACAAAATTGAAAATTAACTTCGAAGATTGATTCGAAAATTCCCTCAGCGATCGATCATAAAGTTGTTTCATCATTTTTCATTATACAGTGGTTTTCCTGATATTTATAATGTTATAGCATTCTGTTTTTTAATACTATTCCTAAATTCTGACAACCATGTATCCAACTTCGTTCATGTCATAGTTAACTTATAGAAAATTAAAAAATTGAGAGGTTAGGACGATTTCTTCCTGTTAACTCTGTTATCAATAGATTCAGTTAAATGGGAAAAATTGGCATAGTTTCAAATTATTTTTTGAATAAAATATTAAAACTCTTCAAATGATTTGGATTTTCTTCTTCTCATTCCAATTTAATTCAAATTTTTTAGATTTTTCAATTTTTTTGCTATCAACGAAAATCTGTCTACATACTTTTAATTTTTTTATTAATATTTGAGTTATTTTTGAATTGAAAGTGTTACTTTTTCCAGATCGATTCTAATATTTTTTATGGTTTTCATTCGTCAGAGTTACTAAGAATCAGAAAGATGTTGCGAGTTTATCGTAGAAAGTATGCTGTGGTGCGATTTCCAAATGAAAGACGAAAAGGCTTATTACTTATTGACGTAGTACCAGGATTATGGATAACTTGTCAGGACGATGGGACATATTCGTGCAAATATCCTCCTATTGAATTTTATAGCAGGATGCTACAATTAAGAAAGCATCCGGAACTTCCTGATACCAGCTGGGAATCTTTCCAAGTTACAGTGATTACTGGTGCAGGTGAGTTCATATTGAACTCATAATGAGAAATATTAAAATGTAAGGTGAATGACTAATGAAAAAATTCCCTGATTAATTTTATTCTAAGATAGGCGACTTCCAAACAGAGTATCCCCTAGAGGATCTACATTTCCGTGGACTGAAATCCCTCACACCGGCAACAAAAAACGCAAACGTAGCCATGAAGAGGATTATTCCATGTAATTGCATCGATCAATGGAAAAAAAACTTAAACAATAATTACAAAATGGCAAAAATATTTTGATGAATTTTATCGCAAAGGTTCGAACTTTAGAGAACACACTTCTCCCAGTGGATCCACTAAACCAGTTGAGGCTTCGAAAAATTCCCATATGATGAAATTGAATCAAGAGTTCAAAAAAAATGAAGTGTGACGAGGCAAAATTTTGCACCCCCCCCCCCCATGCCTGCTACTTAATACTTATTATTTTTCATTAGCTAAGTTAGGTTTAAGTTACTCTTTTTTGCCACCGTTGGACAACCCATTCCCGAGATACTCCTTCCCCCTACCCCATTTCCCCTCGCCACGGTACTCACATCGACCGTGGAAAAGGATGATAACGATGAAGAAGAAAACTCCCCACCCCCCGTTTCCCCTCGCCCCGCACTCATCGCAGACTGGCGAAAAGGAGAAAACCCCCCACGAAGAGACTGGGCACCACCTGACCCGGAAAAGAACGAGACATCCCTCAACTGACCCTCAAGGAATAATTAAGAAGAAAAGGACACTCGATGACGAGTGACCCCGATTAACCCCGATTATGACCGATAATTGGGAAAGAAAGTGTGAAGATAACTGGCAGTCATCACTTGTGATACAGCTGCCCCGTGACCAGTAGTGTTTTTGGAAAAGAGATTGTTCGGAGGAGAATTTCATTGTGTTGGAGATTTTGACTAGTGTGGAGATCCAGGAGTGGAGAAGTCTGGAGAAGGAAAGAAAGAGGAAAAGTCCAGAAGCAAAGAGTTGAGGGTTATTGGTCGAGTATAGGCCGCCAACATTGTGAGTACCCTTACATTTTTCCCTTCCCCAACGAATTTCCCCTTTTTACAATCATTTCCCCCCAACGGTGAGCGTCTGAACAATCACTCTATCCATTAATATTTTTTGCTGTAATAATTATTCTCCGCGAGACCCCCCCTCCCTCTTATTATTTCAGGTCCCCCTTAAATTATTTAGATTACTGGATTTTGCCCCTAATTTGATTTTCCCATATATATATCGTGCCTTCTCCGAGAATTCCCGGCCAAGTTCACAGAAGGTATACGATCGCACATGTATTTTTTTTTATTTTATTTTTACATTTTTCCTTTTTCCTATTACCATTGTTTTCTTACCATGGTTTGATAGGCACCCCTTCGTCTTAGCCTTTTTAGCCTCTCCTACTATCCTCTCTTATTTTGCCTCTCCTACTATCCTCTCTTTTATTATTGCGGTAGCATGGGCCGACTTTCCATTTTTCTGCGCCCATTTGGCTTGTACTGAGGGAAACCATGTAAAACCTCAGTAGCGCAGCCGGCCGGTAATGCGGGGATTCTGCTGTGTTCATCAGTCACACTGACTCGGTGAACACACCAGCTCTCCCCATACGTGCCTGACGGCGGCAGTCTACACGCCGATGGGTGTGACTAAGCGGGCACCCATCCAAGTACTAACCCAACTGAGCGTTGCTTAGCTTGGGTGATCGCCGGAGTCACACACCGCCCGCGTGGCTACTGTCGCCGCTTGCATTAGAAAAACAACTTCGAAATTAAATTCGAAAAATTTAATTATATATTTTCGCTAATAAAACTAAAAACATGTACCTTTTAGAATATGCCAAATTAATGTTGATTGTCTTCCACAGGTCCACTATTTCGATATGTCTGCCAACGATTCGATGATTTGGCAAAAAAGGTGGATTCGGCAAAGCGCAGTATTTTATACTATATTGACCAGAAAATTAAAACCGTCAACACTAATATTGCTGCAATGACAGGAGCACAAGTTCCTGTAGATTTGGAAAAAATCCGGAAGACTCTTGACACTGTCCTACCACTAACTCAACTCAATGATTTTCTGGCTTTCGATGCAGAATTAAGTCTCAGTGAAGATAAAAGAACAGCTTTGGTAAAATGCATTTATTAAATAAATATACATGGTATACTGAACAAGCTCATATTTTCCAAAATCAATCATTTTTTTATTTTTCAGATTGGTCTTTCCGAATATTTGGCCGCAAATTGTTCATCTTTTGCATCATGTATATGCAAACTTTTTCCTGCTATCTTCACTAAAGTTATCCAGAGCGAGTACTCGGGCCAAGGAACAAAAAAACGTGGTATACCCTCCAAGCGGAGCTTCAAGGATACAGCCACCTATGCATGCTTGGAAGGTATCAGCAATGCACCCTTTATATAGTTAATACTTCTTTTTCATTCAGTTTAACGTGATTCCTTAAGTATTGCGATGATAATTCAATTTTTTTTATATTGCAGTGGTAATGAGAAACAAGTTCCACGACACAAATAAACTCATTACGAAGGTAGGAAATTGGTTAGCGAGGTGGAGCGTTCGCGAGGGTGGCGCGAAAAATCGCCCAAATCCAACGGCTGATCCCTGTGCTTCATAAAACTTTATCACTTACTGTACTACTTAGG